AAAAATTCCTTGATGAACTTTTTAACTTCCTTCACTTCTTCAACCCATTCCCCATTGATTAGGACTCCTTCAATCCCATTGAATTTTCTTCTTTGTGCCACACAAGAGTGAAAATACTTGCTGTTTGCATCACCCTCTTTTAACCATTTTTTTCTTGACTTCTGATGTAGTAAGATGTCTCTTGCATTATTCCACTCCCATAGGTTGTGGAAAACCTCTTGTCTTCTCTTTGTCTCTGTTTCTGAAAGAATCCCAGTTTCCCCTTTCTCGTCAAGGACTCTTATTTCCTCTTTTGCCTTTTCAATGTTGCTGTCAATATCTCCAAACACATCCCTGTTCCATTTCTTCAATTCTGCTTTAAGCTTCTTGAATTTTTCTTTTAATCTGTAGCAACTCCAGCCATTAACTGTTATATTATTCCATTTATCCTGTATAAAATCTGCAAAGCCCTCATGGTTCCACCAGCAATCAAGGCATCGGAATGGTTTAGGACCCCAATCCACGGAGATATCTTTCAGCAAAATTGGGCAGTGATCTGAGATATCCCTCCTCAGACCTCTCAATGTAATATCAGGAAAGCATATACAAAATATATATTTAATTTAAAATTAATTAACGACAAATAGAGTAGCTCATATCACATTTAAACCACATGTTTCTTCTCTTATTTTTCAGTGTGGGATAGTCGACCTCACTGCACCGTTGGCCCAACATTATCTCATCGTGAAGGTAAGTCAATATTTGCAGTCGTCTTCCATTACAGCTTTCAGGTGCATGATGATTCTAATTATTTGTGTATCAATCAGTACAGTGTTCGTAGTTGTTAGCGGATATTGTTGCTCGTGAGAAAAATAAAAGCAGATATAGAAGATATATTTCTTAGAAACACAGATGCATCAATTAAAGAGGAGTAGACGGAAGTTAGATACAAAACTGAAGCACCTAGAATAGAAGTTAGATACGATTAGCTTGGAAAAGGAAACAAACAACGCTATGAAATCTACAATTGCAGCTCTCAATGTATGTTTGAAATTGCGAAGAAAGAGAGGCTATAGGAATGGTGATTAATTGTTCTTGTGGGTAAATGGCTTTTGCGAAGTTATTTGGTTATTATTTGGATTGTTATATGAGATATTTTCTGAGTGTTGGTAGTTGAATTGAGGTCCAACTTCTTTTTATCAAGTTCTCTTTTATATTCCATTTTAGAGTTTCTTTTGGCTAATTTATAAGATATTTGTGACTGCGGAGTGGAGATTGGAATTGGAAATCAGATGAGAGACAGGAAATTTAGGGGAGAATAGAGGAGAATTGAGGGCGAAAGGGAAGAATCTAGAGTGCATGGAGAATTTGATAGATTAATGAACAACCCAAAAGGATTACGGAGAGACTCCTTTATTGTAGAAAGCTAGATAAAATCAATTGCAGCTTACTCCTACTCTTACTAATACCTGCCATTTTGGGCCTAGGCTTACATTCTTCATTAACATTGATCGTTTTTTCAAAAGAAAAAGAATAAATAAATAAAGGAAAGGGAGTAAGTACATGTAATCCAGAAAGCAATGGTAATTTAATAATGCATAAAAACATTTAGGAAGCGAATAGGAAGTTTTGACCAATTCTATTGTGCAGGGTATGACACAGAGAGTTCAAATTTGGATTGAAATTCATATGTTGGCTGGTCACTAATTATCTGCATGCAAAAGTTAGTTAAACGTTGGACTTAATCGTGAGCTCAAATCTAAGTCAATACAAGTGAAATGCTATATTAGGTTAAATATCATTTTTAGTTCCTAAACTTTTAATTTTGAAATTTTTTTTAAAATCCTTGAATTACTTTTTGCACTTCTTTTTATTCATAAAGTATGGAAAATGCACTTTTTTTAATCATTTTATTAGTTCGTTAAGTTTGTTTTTATATATATTTTTTAATTTCTAAATTTATAAATTCAAGAATTAAAAATATGTATATATTATAAGTTTAGAAATTAAAAAAAAAATATATAAATAAATTTAACAAATCAACTAATAGAATGATTCAAAAATGCATTTTTCATATTTTAGGGGTAGAAAAATGGCAAAAAATAGGAGCTACAAATGTTCAAAGTTGAAAGTTCAAGGGCTATAAATGGCATTTAAAAGCTTTATTAAGGCTAGTTTGAAATGTTATGATGAAAGTGATACTTTGAGTGATGTTTGGACTCAGTTATGCATGCAAGAAATGTAGTTGACCTACACGCATGTGATATTTGCCATTGCTGCAGTTTGGAGAAATTGAATTTGGGATCCGAACACATGTTCCTAAACTGTAAAGTATGGAAATGTTGCGAAGTGTGCCATTTATGCTTTAATAAGGCAATTACAACCACACCCACAATCAACTCTAACATTTTAAACAGAAGAAGATATTACTAAAAGCTGATTGAGTTGTGCATAA